GGCTAGACCAACCAGAAATTATCGCCCCTTATTCCTTTCTACGTGCACTATAGACTACGCTATGCACAATCCTTTTCGCGTGCTCTGTAAAAATTATAAAAGTTTGCATGACGTTTTCTCTAATGTACTTTTTTTACCTCTAATAAAATTGTTGCTTTCAGGATACCTTCGGTAACTCAGTGACCATTCCCAGCTTTGAGCAAGGGCATTTTTCGCCGGGCAGGCTATAAATCTTCCCCCCACCGGGTCGGTGATTTCCCATTACTATCTCTCCATCCTATCTACTTAACACTTTATATATCTAGCACACATTTCTTACCTTCATTAACAATCTTTTTATTTATTTTTTCCTATATATTGTAAATTTAATTATATAAAAAATTAGGATTATTTTTATTTTATTATATTACTTAAAAACAATTTTTTTCTACTTGCACCTTTCTTCATAGCTGTAGGCTCTAATAGCGTTACTAACAAAGTTAGCTGTGAAATGGTTCACAGCTGGCCGGACTGGCAAATTAAACACCTCCATCGGTCGGTGATGCTATTAGAAAATTGTGTAGTCTAACTGGGCTTTTAGCATTTGACTTGCATATTGTCATATTGTTCATATTTGTCGACCATTAATAAATAAATAAAATAAATAAACTATTTTGAACAAGTAAGTGGTCTTAGTCGGGAGATCCCTACTAGGGAGTACCCTGAACTCGCTTATTCCATTACCAAATAAATTTAAAAAAAGGTGTTCCCTTGGCAGGGTTCGAACTCGCAACTAACCGCATTTCTTGCTATCGACTCGACTCAACAACCACACCAGCCAAAATAAAACAAGAAAAAGGGTGTAGTCGGGAGCTCCCGATTAGGGAATACCCTGAACCCTTTTATTCCAACACCAAATAAATTAAAAACAAGTAAGAGGTTCTAAATGCAAAATGTAAATGTATGTAACAGGCACAAGGAAGCATCTCCGACCCCGTAAAGCATATATATTCTTGATCAGCATCATCAGACGAGTCGATCTAGTCATGTCCGTCTGTCCGTCAGTCTGTCCGTCCGTCTGTCTGTCCGTGCCTGCGCAGATCGAGTTTGTTTCCGATAATCGATAACTTGCCCCGTTTCCAAGTAATCATTAAAAATCGATATCGACATCCTGTTTTTGAGCAATTTTCGTAAATAATAAGAGCTAGAGTCACCAAACTTGACATGTAGCTTCTAGAATAGTATATACATATTTGCATTTTGTGTTGGAAGAAGAGGGTTCAGGGTATCGGGAGCTCCCGACGAGAACCTCTTACTTGTTTTGATTTACGAGAGCCCTGCACAAATGCATATGTACATGCATATGCTAGCAGCTGCTTCAAAAAAACTCAACGACATTATTTATTTGATACCAAACATGTTTGTCCAAACAAATAAAACAAAGCGCAAAGCTTAAATCATACTCGTTAGCCTCGTATAATGCAGCAAGATTAACAAAATGGGATATGTCAATATCATGCCAGTTTTAAGAATAGTCATTGCTTCTAAATTTAGATCAGTAATTGTGTTCCTTGGTCTCCCCTAAGTTATTGCTTATCTGTCTGAAAGTTATTTAAATTTTTATCATGTTTATTTATTTATTTATTAATGGTCGACAAACCGAGTGTCTTTCTTATTATTCAATAGGTTATACAATAGATAATAGAATTATATGCTAAAAGCCTAGTTAAAGAATACAATTTTCTAAATAGCATCACCGACCGATGGAGGTGTTTTATTTGCCAGTCCGGCCAGCTGTGCCCCTTTTCACAGCTAATTTTGTCAGTGACGCTATTAGAGCCTACCTCTAAGCGCTTATTGGCTGATGAGTACGAAATGAAAGGATTACAATTGAGCATTGCAATCTCTAAAGTAGGATGATAGACATCCTCAGGAAGAGATAAAGGAGGGGACCTAGACACATTAGAAATAAGGTAGTCGTTAACAAATACAAGGTCAAGTGTTCTAATCAAATGATTAGAAATTGAATTGATTTGAAACAACGAAAGGTCAAGCATGCAATCTATAAAATCGTGCTGTGCTGAGGGCACTAGATAATTTTTGGCAGTAAATAATGACCAAGAGATGTTGGGCAAATTAAAATCACCCAACACCATAAATAGGTCATTATCACGCACGTGTGAAGAAACTTTTTTAATACAAGTAATATGTTTCATATAAACTTGAATATCAGAAGAAGGTGGGACATAAGAGCATGTTACATAGACATTCCGTTTAGGAAAAGACACCTTAACTGAGACAATCTCAGCGTCAGTAGGCGTACTAAAACAGAAATGTTCTGAATGGAGAGTGGCTTTAGCAGCAATTAACACCCCACCACCTCGAGTCGGCTGATCATTTCTATACAAAATAAAGTTGTTAGATAAAATCTCAAAATCAGATATGGTTGAGTTCAACCATGTTTCTGAAAATGCTATTATATCCGACGAAGGGAGTGCTGGCCATGAAAAGATTTTTAAGCTTTGAAATGAGACCTCTAACAGTCTGATAATGAATAAAGATTTGGTCAGAAGATAGAGCTCCTTTTTTGGTACCCTGTATTGAAGGGACTGGAAGGGTGACAGGCTGGTTACGCTTTTTAGGCTTGAACTCGTGAACAATCTTGTGTGGAGGCCAAAATTTGGAATCACAAATGATTGGGAACATATCATGTGAAACATTTATTTTGAGTGATGATATTTCACGAGGGGTGGAGAAATTAAATTTGGTTATTGACACGCTAGCAGAAGATTTGCTAGCAATATAGGCTGCCAATGACTCAGAAGTGGTGCCCGACGAAAGTCGAGACACAAAAACTTGCCTACGAGGGGCAACTACCGTTAAAATAGGCGCTGATGGGGCTGATGTAGGTAATACAGGAGTTGGAGGAGCTAAAGAGGCATAATGATTGTTTATTTTTATAAATTATATTATACTCAAAAAACAATTATTCGTACACAAACAAATTGTTTGGAGCGAAAAGCAATAGAAAAAATTTGCGAGAGCGCGATGCACAAGCAGAAAGTATGCAGCAAACACACGCACAAACAAGTGTATGCCCAGGGGAGCACCAAAGTAAAATAATCAAAACAGGCAATAACAACAACACGGAACTGACGCATCGTTTTATAAATGCAATAATTAACAGACTTACGCTGCACAACAGATAACACTTTGCACTGTTTATAAAGGCTTTTTAAATAAAGCACCGAAAAATGCAAAATTTTGAAATGAAAAGCAGGATAAAAGCGAAAAGATATATAAAAATCCTGGAGCACAAGTAAAACACGTCAATCACTCTCAACTGAGAACTCCTGTTTTGTGTACGGTTCTAACAAATGGGATTATGAATCTATGTTATATTCGCTCAAGAAAGTTAACACAAATAAAACAATGTCTCGTTTTTTATTTTGTTCGGATTTGCGCTAGGCCTTAGTTATGCTATATAAATATTTATATCGATCTTATTTCACCCAAAAATTATTCAAGAATGCACATTCCACCATATGAAATGATTATAAACTGTATCTTCTACATTTAATGAACTAGTGTTATAAAATTTAGAAGAAATACTACTGATAAGCTAAAGGAGACATATCTTAGGAAGTAGTTTGGATCGTTTGAACTGAAAACGGACTGCTCCATACAGTACAAGCATTATAATAATGGTTCCCAATTGGATTCAGTGGATGAATTTCTTTACGAGCTAGAACAAATTAGAAAAAGTAAAAAGACTTAATGTTTAATAATAAATATTTAAACAAGTAAGAGGTTCTAGTCGGGAGCTCCCGACTAGGGGATACCTCGAACCCTCTTATTCCAACACCAAATAAATTAATAAAAAAAAGTTCCCTTGGCAGGGCTCGAATTTGCAACTGACCGCATTACTTACTGTCGACTCAACTCAACAGCCACACCAGAAAAAAAAAAAAGTAATAATACTTTCCTCGGTAGGGCTCGAACTCGCGACAGACCGCACCACTTGCTATGCCTCTACTCAGCAGCCACACCAACAATTAAGTACTTATGATAGAAAAAGGAACTAAAATAACATTACAAAAAAAAGATGCAATTACAATGCTATTAGAATGCGAAGCAGACGCGCATGAATGTGCGCTGCTGCCCCATTCAATTGCGCAGTTGCATATAACTTTGGTTTTTCTTAATGGATCTTTATGAAATTTTCTACAGTATATCTTATTGTACCATAGAATATTTGTGTAATTTGAAAAAGTCAATTGCATTTAAATTGTGGTTTAAATTGGTTGGCAATAAAAGTTGGGTTATTAACTAGATTTATAGCTCTGTGGTGGCAGCGGGGAGGTGGCGATAGGTATGAAATGAAAGATACTTGATGCTAATCAAGAATATATACACTTTATGGGGTCGGAGATGCTACCTTCTGCCTGTTACATACGTTTTCATTTTGCACAAATACAATATACCCATTTTTAATGGGTTCAGGGTATAAAAAAGAGGAATTATTTTTGCTGCCTCATTTGGACGATGTCGTTAATGTTGCCGCGTGCATTAGTACTGAAAATAATTTTGTCGTCAATTTCCTTTAAACCTAAAGCAAATGGAGGTACTTGCTATGTTGAAAGAGTTGAAACTAGTTGTAAACAATATTGTGTATCTATTTTTCGGCTTACATTTTGACATTGACTTAGTCATCATATTCTGTGCATGAAAAAAACGGCTTAAAACTGTACAATAAGGCTGTGTAAATAAGAGTTTTTGGCGGGATGCAAATCTTAAAAGGTGTAAGTATTTGATATTGACAATAACAGCCTAGTAAATCTAGCCATGCCAGAAAATACTTTAATATTTGTATAGTTTTCTTTTATGGTTTGAATTTATATTAGCTATTACCGACTGAAAGAAAAATATTAAATATATTTGTTTTGCTATTGAGCTGATGCTACGTTTACAAAAAACGTAATAAACCATGTTAATAATTTAAATAGGGTCAGGTCAACATTATGTAGGTTATATTAGTATAAAAACGCTATTGCGCTGGTCTACATCGTCCGGCTGAAGTTCCAGCAAACTCCAAATCTTTCTGTTCGATTATGGGAATCCGATCATCGTACAAAGTTGGCGCTTGTAAAATTATTCCAGCTGTACCCGCTAAAACAGCTAATGTAAAGATCCATAAAAAGAGTCTATCCAGCACCATTGCGACATATTTCCAATCTTCTTTAACCTTTTGTATAAAATGAATATAGGTTTTACAATAAAAATTATATTTTGTAGTTTCGAATTATTATTTAATTACTAACTTTAGTAGAATCCTCCTGCATTTTAGTATGTTCTGCAATAAATCGTACACAAAAGCAGCTCCGATGAACTCGAGGTGGGCATTTTGAATGAGAGAAGGCGGGGTTGTTTAATATTGGGCTCTTCATTCCCGAATTTCCAGAATCTACATCAGAAACAGCTGGTAAATCGTCTGAACTAGAATGCGTAATTTGGGGCAATGGTCCATGAACTTGACAGCTGCCACCGAAAGGTCCTGTGCCGGTTAAACTATATTTTTTAATAAAAAAATAAAAAGCTAGTTTTATAAGTGAGATATATAAAAGCTTTGGATAGGAATTTTTATCAGCTTAAGTTTCACCAATATGATTAACGTAACTGACGAAACAGAAGAACAAAACATTCTAAAAAAACTGACCTATTTTTACAAGCACACTAACTTTACAACGGAACTAAAAAGACGGAAAATGGCCATTTTAGACTTTATAGTTGTTGTCGCAGATCCGCGCATTCAGTTAAAAAATTAATTTTAAAAACATGAAGTATAGTGTAAGTTAGGTTTACGGCGGAGCGACAGCGCAATAAAGCTTTATCCCTCGCTTTGGAGCGAAATCGCCTCGCTTATGTTTAGTTGTCGAATTATATCAAAGCGATACTCACTAAACCGCATAGCAATCTTTTAAAGCCACCACAAAATTTAATTTTAATTAATTTAATTTTAATCAAAAAAGAACAGATTTCTACGCACGAGACACTGGGTCCGAGCAAAAATACTTTTCGTTCGTTTTTTTCGCACATGTTCTTTCACGACCACTGAACAGAAAAAAACTGCCAAAGTGTCTTTTGTGGATATGCATGTTTTTTTTGTTCTTGTTTTAGTCAAACTAAATTGTATGCAAAGCAGATATTCATTCATTCGTTTTATACTACTCGAGTGAGTTTGACGTTTTTAATTGATTTAATTTTATCTTGCGCAAAAATGGGGCGGGATTCAAACAAAAGTGTGCGATTTTTTTTTAAGTTTGATAACAATTCAAATAAATCAGTATGCAACGTATGTGGTGTTTTGTTAACCGACAAGCATATAACAAATTTAAAACGCCAATTGCTTGGAAAGCATAATAATATTTATGAAAATTTTGGCACTCTTGACATTGTTGAGCAAAAAAAAGAAAGAAAAAAAAACATTTCTTACAAAACAAGTGAAGAGACATTGACTTCGTCCATAATTAAAATTGTAACAACAGATGGCAGGCCGTTTCTGTTTTTGGACAGCGAAGGGTTTCGCGAAATTTTGAACCCAATATATAGTGCTTTGTCCATGTCGCCTATTTCTTCCCGGAACATAATGCAATTTGTTAACATTAGGGAACAGTCTATCAAAGCTGGTATATAGCGATTAGTGCAAGGCAAACTTGCATCTTTAAAAATTGACGTAGCCACTCGAATGGACAAAGCTATTTTGGGCGTGAATTTGCAAATTATTCACTCGACTTACGAGACTTCCAAAATCGTTGTGAAAACTCTTGGAATGATGCAGCTGTTTCAATCGCATACTGGATCATACATTAAGCAAAAGATTGCAGAGATCATTCAAGAATAGGGCCTATATCTGGATCAGATTTTCAGGTAATGGTTTTATAAAATTCTGTTGTTTTAATTATTAAAGAATAAATCCTTTTCCTTTAGCATAACATCTGATAATGGCAAGAGCATGGTTAAGGCCATCGAAAGGCTTAATAATGATGCGACAGAAGAGTCTTCAGTCGATGAAGACACAAGCGGAGACGAATTTATGGAAAAGCTTGAGTCCATTACTTTTCCAAATATTCATCTTCTGCGATGTGCTGCGCGAGGTTGACGAGAAAATTTGTACTTGTCGAAAATTGTGCAAAATTCTGCGTTGTGGTAAACATAGGTAAGTTATCATCTTCTTTCTTTAATGTTATAAGTAAATACATATTGGTGTATTACAACATTAAACTTCCACAGACGTACCTTAATTGAGCACAATAAAAGCTTACCATCACTTGATGTTGTGACTCGATGGAATTCCACATATGTGATGATGGTAAAATTATTGAATTTAAGGGAGTTTCTTGTCACACAGTGTTTTGATGGGAATATTGACTGGGACTGGGTAGAGCTGTATAAAGATGCCTTTAAGGATATATATGAAGTTACCTTTAAACTGCAACTAGAGCATCTTCTGTACAGTGATTTTTAATATTATGGATGGAGCTAAGATTGAAATTCGAAAAAAGCCAAAACTACCTAACGAAGAAAATATTAGCTTAACTTATAAATCGCGAAAGTAAGTTACTTGAAAACAAAGCTTTGTTATCTGCGATTTATATAGACCCACGCATTAATTTGGTCCTAAACGACCAACAAAAAATGTTAGCAAAAAAAAATTTAAATAAAATAGCACAGCGTATTTTTGATTTAAAGCAAGTAAGACAAAAATAAAACAAATTGGGTATACGTGTCACTGAAGTTAAAGTCCCGTCAATTGTCCTCGAGTAATTTATGTTATATAGTAGCAGACAAAGTTTTGTATTTTAGAATAAATGTTTTTAACAAGTAAAGTTGTCATTGTTTAAAACTAATACATTTGATATATAATATTAATTTAATCATAATAAGGAATGCACATTTATTTTATAGATCAATGGTACAAAACAGAATGGGGCTACATGTTCTGAAGCACTACCAGTTCTAGTTATGGCAGAACAATTATCCTCCACTAGTACGAGTGCTACAGAAGAGGCATCGCTATTTTCTGCATATTTGAATAATATGCAGACAGTAGCCCAACCCCAAGAAGAGCCAATGTCTCAAAAATTGGCGGAAGTATATTTAGAAATTGAAAATTTCGATATGGCTCATGGTCGTTTACCACTTGATGCAAATGTATTGGATTTTTACCAACAAATGATATTAAAATCACCTTTCCTGAGTGAACTTGCACTGGTTGTGCTGGCCATACCGGCAACTCAGGTATCAGTCGAAAGAACATTCTCGGCTCTTAACTTTATTTTAAGTGAAAAGCGTAGTGTGCTAAGCGCTCAAAATATAAATTCATTGTTATTAGTTAAGCTTAATACACAATAAAAATACACTTACTCATAAACATATATAAACAAACTATTAATTATTGAATGGGTGTTTGCTTATAGCTTTAAATATATACATGTACACATATACATCGGTCCCCTTTTTCTCTCTCTCTCTCTCTCGATCTAGCTTTCATTGATATCGTCTCACGACAACAACAAGAAAAGACACTTTTCGCTTCCACCTTTTCTTTGACAGACACTTATTTTCTGTGCGATCGGCCGAATGTGTTCTGTTTAGATGTTACTGTTAGACAGTAACAGTAACAGTGTGCATTGCTCAAGCAAAAGCACGAACAGAGTACACAAGCGCAAAAAACAGGATATCGATATCGATTGCTTAGAAACGGAGTAAGTTATCGATTATCGGAAACAAACTCGATCTGCGCAGGCCCTAGGAGCACCTACATCTAAAATTTCAAGTCTCTAGCTCTTATAGGTTCTGAGATCCTTGCGTTCATACATACGGACGGACGGACGGACGGACGGACAGACAGACGGACATGGCTAGATCGACTCGGCTATTGATGCAGATCAAGAATATATCTACTTTATGGGGTCGGAGAAGCTTCCTTCTGCCTGTTACATATGTACATCTGGATTCTGCACAAATACAATATACCTTTATATCCACTTTTAATGGGTTCAGAGGATAAAAAGTGTTATATGGAGGCGGAACAGAATCTGCCTTGTTTTTTTCGGTTTTTTTGTGTTCAGATCGCATTGAAAATAAGTGTTGACTGTTACACTATACAGTTGTCCGAGACTAAGCGCTTGTATATATGTGCAGTACACGCATACATATACACGTACAAAGCAAGCCAGCTGCAGCCAGTTGATTTTTGCTCCGCTTTGTGCTAAGCGGTGGCTGTGCAATTGTATTTGCACGCATTTTTCGTTGGCGCGTTTCGGTCAAGAGACGCAAGCTCTCCTACGCTTTATTGATCAGGCATATCAGTTTTTGAATTCGTTAAGCAAATTCGATTTTAATTAAAACTAATAGTTATTAAATCGAATTAAGAGTCAAATATACTACCAAGAAAATTTTGACGATTCAAAATTTTATGACATATTGCATTTCATATGTCCGTTATTAGCATAATGCGTTTAAATGATCAAATAATAAAGGGTAAATTAAACCTAAAGTCTACCGAGTTAGAATGTAGATAAGAAATGCTGGCCTTGAGTTGAAACTTATAGCCCAGATGATGAGTATCGTGCCGAGCTCGAAGATTTTGTATAACGACAAAGGCTTGTCTAAGGTCCGTTATCAAGACATTAAGTCCTGCAACGCCTATAGACATATCCGTTGCGGCTCCACGCAGACGGGTTCCGCATCTGGCACTTCCCAAATTTAGTGGAAAATACTCCGAGGTAAAGAATTTTATTAGCCTGTTCGAAACTCTTGTTCATAAGGATCATGCGATCTCGGGCATCGACGGCGGTGGTATTCGTTATCAACTGGTTTTATAATCTATTGCAAATTATCCGCTCATTCTCACTCCACTTGCTAAGTAGCACACATGTTTTAACAGAAAACTCCGGTTATCAAAATCCATCGCAAAGGGAATCGAATGCGATTAGTGTTCGATGACGAGAAGCTAGCTAGTCAGACCAGCTCTACGCTACGCTACGCTTTGATCTGCCAGTTGAGCGCTTAACTCCTGGTGCACCGTTCAACATTCCGCAAAAGGGAATCAATTGCGAGGGGGTACTGCTGCAACGCACGCACACACACACGCACACAGACACATTCACGCACACATGCGGAATTTCCTGTTATGTGGGGCAGTCCAACACGTCCCATTTGGCCCAAAGAGCATCAAAATGTGATTAAGAGCAGCAAAAAGCACGCAGGCGGCAGGCAGGGAAACGATACACGCAGCGAAAGAGATCTACTTGTTGTCGTCGTGATCATCATTGTTCATGTTGTTGTTGTTAGTGGTGTGTATACATTTTTTCAGTTTATTATGTACTTACATGAGCATACAATTAAGTATGTATCTTCCTATAGAGGCAATCCTCTAACTCCAGGCTGTTTAAACGAAACTCTTCTGGCCATGGGCCGTAGTCTACTAAGAATGAATGTCTATTGTACAGCCCATGTTAATGTGCTATAACATGTTACTTTGTAAACAATTGTATAAACCCGATCTTGGTATTGTAAGACGATTGTATTGTTATAATTGTAAAACTTTGACATGTACATATTTGTGTATGGCTTAAGAAACGTAACAGGGACTCGTTCACTGAAGAATTCGACTGACGAGGGCCCGCTGATGTTCAACCCCACCCCTTAATATGAGAGTGATGGAGCGACTTGCAAGAGGCTACTCCATTGCGCTCTTAAGGCGGGCCTGGCCATGACACTTATGTATCCATCTCCAGGGGCTTGCGTTGGTGATGTACGCGAGCGGCAGAGGGGACAATCAACCGTTCAAATTGGCTGGCAGAACTAACTTCAACTCTGCGAACTCTTGATTACCTGGTCGTCGATTCGCCAACCGCCATTCCATAGGCAAAGATTGAATCTTTCGAGCTTCCTAATTTTTCGACTCTGATGTCGCATCATCGCTTCAAATCCCTAAAACTTAAAAATCAGCCATTTTCTGTCGTAAGAGGTGGAGCTGCAGCCGACCAAAAACCGTCCATTACGGCATCGACGCTTCATGTCAAGAGAGATCTGCACTTGAACTGGAGGTCTTCGTGTTCGTAACTCCACATCTTAGCACGTCCTGTCGATCTAACATTTCATCTACTATGTCACTGCATCCAGTCCGAGGCTAATAGACAGATTCACAGATTTACTGCCAACTACAACTCAACTACTACATATTCAGAAAGCAACCAGCACATCATTCTCATCGACACGTACGCCTGCAAAAATCATTTTTGGCTTTGTCCGCTGACTAGGACACACCACACATGGGATAATTTTTTGGCTCCAAGATAAATCTTGATAATCGATCTTCTTCACATCGACAACATACACATATTCCTCTCCTGGCCCGCTGGCGGCTATAGGATCCTACTCAGATCGTTTTCTTCTTGTCTTCTGCCGTTCGTTTCTGACGTTTTCTGAAAGGACTTCGATTCTGGCGATTAAGATTTTTTGAAGGATTTTAAATATTTTCTAAAATTTCGGACAATTGGGCACAATTTAAATACGTTTTCAAACTGACGGCAGCGAGGGATAATAGTAAATATTTTGACAGCAGCGTGGGATGATACCAAAATTGACGGCAGCGGGGGATACCAAATTGAAAGAACGGCGTGGGATTCTCTTTCGTTTTCTTCGTGGGACTTATAGGGCTTCGGTTAGGAGATGTCGCTAGGTGCAAGGCTTCATTATTACGACAACTGTGAAGGGGAGCTCTTCGTTTCGTCGGCTTTGATTTCTCTATGATCATCGTCGGTATTCCCATGAGGCGCAATTTAA